ATATCGTGGATACTATGTAGATGTAACAGATTTTGGATCTTCTTGCAAAATCTCCTTGTAATTATCAATATAAAGCATTAAGACTTTCACTGAAAGACAAATGCTGTCAATAAAAATGTCTGAGAAAAGTCTCTCGCCTGACCACCTTGTTGTCTTAATTATTTCAAAAATCCAGGTTGTCTCGCTTGAAATAGCAGAGTTCGAGATTTTATGCCATGCATTTATTATGAGCTTGCGTTTTCTCTTTCTAAGGTGAGTATCATTCTTTTCTCACCCACACTTAATACCACTTGGCTTTTTATCTTTCTGTTTGCAAGGCACTATTGAACTAGCCTTAGCCAACACCATCCTGAATGAGTTTTTTCTGCAATTAAATGGCCCCACTCCATAGGGCTCAATTCCTTCAAAATGACCGCATTTTTCCTGTTACCTCAATGGGCATTTCCGTGTATTTGCTCGTTTACGTTGATGGGCTAGATGACGTGGAGAAAAAGGGGATAGCCTAAGCAATCATAATCTTCCTTTGTACGTAGTCATCTGTGGCTGTGTCAGATTAACCGATCTAAGCGGACAAAGTTTTCTTTTGGTTGCGTATTGGAAATCATTGGTGGCTCGCAGTAATTTTTGCTACTGAGGTAAAGCAGTAATTTTTCCGAAGAGGGGGGTGTAGTGTGATACGTAGACGTCAAAAAATATTGTGATGAATTTTAATTTTCATCAGCATGCTTTAACCTGAGTAGAAAGAATTCTGGATAAAAGAATTTTCAAAAAACAGTCTTCAAAAAATTGAAGGAAATATGCATATCTATCTTCAAAGCAGAACATGCACATTTTTGAGGACCATGTACATCGCTTCGAAAAATTTTTGAAAAATATATAAATACAAATATTATGAATAATAAATAATAATAATAATTTATGAATAACACGATTTATGAAAGCAAACCAGGCTGGGAGAATTCTTCCTATTTTTTCGATTCTCACCTCCAATAAAATTTCATTTCTATGTCAATACAAATGCTCAAATAGATTATTTTCTTTCACTCCTACCTGCAGCCCTAATGACTGCTTTCGTTCTTCGTCTATCATACACAAGCATCGCAAAAAGTACATCAGAAGCCCTAAGGTCAATGTTTCCCCTTTTCATATTCTTGAAATCTTTTTTCATCTATTAATAACCAGAATCAGAGAAAAATTCGAGTCCAATTACAAGATTTTGTCATTTTCCTTGTCATGCAAGTATTTACATTCAATTTTGCATAATTATAAACATCACAATATTAGTAGTTTACATCATGTGCACTTTGAGTTCTTTCTGCTGCCCGTACTTTTTGTAAAGCAACAATGGACTAATCAGGCTTTAGTTGCATTCTTTTCGTCATTTCCCCGGAATTATTTACGATATACGCCTTATAAGAGGAGAACTTGGAGAAAACATCATGTTGAGAAATTCTACAATGCAATATTCTTACGGCTTTGTTTCGTACTCCTGTACTTACTACACCGAATTGCCAAAGCTTATTGAAAAACATTTTTACGTCACTTAATTGCAGCGCTTGTTTTCCTAAAGACTTGATTCATGTTTCGTACTTTAAATACCCATGTTGAATTCACCAATACAATAGTAGCTTTTGAGCTTTATTCTTGCGTTTTAACAAAGTAATTGTCGCCTAGAAGACTCTTTAATGGACCTCAGTTTTGACGTAACGTAAGTTCCGATGAACATAAAATAAAAATCTTTTACTTTGCTTCACATTTTCCCACTATCAAATTATTTAGAGGGTGGGTATTCTATATATGCAAACTTGGCTCTTCGTGTTTTGTGCTGTGTAAGATATCAGATTCATCGACGGTGGTTCAGTGTCATTAGTTTGCATGGATAACCGACCCCTGTACTGCCTTCGTATTCAAAGCGATGCTCCACGATGCTTTCGCAAACCCAGAAAAAAATCTAGAAAGATGAAAAGAACAGTGAAAGAAACTTTGAAAAACAAAGGGGAATTGAGGTTGCAGTAAGGTTACAAAATTAGTTTAATATTAGGTCGTTCCGAAAGTAATGTCGCTTTTTTCAAACGAACGCCACATTTCACGGAATCAAGATTTTCAAGAGGTCTTAAAAGCATTCGATGCAGCATTTCATCCTCTTTCTAATGGTTGTAATTTCATTGCATAATTTTCATTAAGCTTTCGAAAAATTAACAAAATCTGCAACTCATGCTTTTTGCCATGGTCAGGTTCGGCATTTTTTTAAGTTTTTTGTACCTATTCTCCGAAGAAGTACAAGTGGCAGGTAGATAGAGCAAACCCTATAGGACATAGACAATTTTTTTCTTTTCCTTAGCTTGCTTCTCAGAGTTTCTACAAACAATTTCTCAATGCCATCAAATTCCACATTTAGTCAAGTCAAACCTCACAAAACAACAACCGGCAAGCGATTCGGGTGTCATTCGATGCAGCTTTTTCTCCTCTTTCTAGCGGTCGTTTTATGTTTCCGATTCATCAAGTTTTCCGGGATAAAATCATCATAATTCAGGTTTTCCAGGGCGCCTCAGGCTGTACCCGGAATTTGCGAAAGTTGCTAATCTGAAGCGGTAAACGCTCATTTGCTTTGTAAAATTATTGTCAAACCATTTTTCATCTTTGTAAGTTTCAAAATCCGAAGATTTACTGGTGTTTGATGCATTTGTGTCTGAGACGAGCCTGCTAAAATTCGGTGGTTCTATCAAAAAATTTGTACAAAAATTATGACCAGCTCTGGAAAGTAGGAAAAAGTTGTACTGTTTTCTGTAGAGTTTGCTCTATCCATTCATTACTTGTACTCCTTCCGAGGGTTGTTATAAAATCTTAGAAAAATGTTGAAAATTGGCCTTCTAAAAAAGCATGGGTCGCAAATTTAAATAATTTTTCGAGAGATTGTTGGATTTTGTACAGTAATTATATAACTGTTAGAAAGAGAATGAAATGCTGCATCATATGCTTCCAAAATCTTTTACATATCTTTGTTCCACGAGGTGTGGTGTACGTTTGAAGAAAGCGACATTACTTTCGGAACGACCTAATATATACTGTGACTTGAACCCGCGGAGGACGCAAAAAATTGCTACTTTTTTTCAGTCGATGTTTCGTTTTTAAGAGTTTTTACACATATGGTTTGGGGTCAAAGGGGACTTCGTAAATTTTGGCCAAAGTCAAGGGAGAAAAAAGCCTAGATAGGGACTCATGCTGGGCCCTGACTAAAATTGATAGCACTGCTAATTGTGGAGTAAGAGTTCAGGTGCTGAAATCGGTGTAACTACAGCCATAAAGGTAGATAAATAGAAGCTCAATATCCAATATCTCGTAATATCTTTTAGCTCCGGATTCAGGGTGGAAATGCCAAACGGATGAGGGACAATGGGCGTATATAGAAGAGTCAATTTGTTTTGTGGTGCAAAAATTATGCTTGCGTAATTTGCCATTTGTCATCTCAAATTCCCTATCAATCTGAAGGAGTCGTTTTATTGGCATTTCTAATAATGGTTACGCACCCTCTTTTTTGACCCGAAGTAACATTGTACATTTGATGGAACATATATTTTATTTTATTCCATGTATACACTCGTGGTGCACCATTAAAAAACCGAAATCGAACAGAAAATCTGGCAACACAAAAAAAAAAACAAAAGACCAGCCAGTCACAAAAGGAAAAAGAGTTATGTAAATGGAACACAAGACAAAGCATATACCGAGCAGTCTCTAGAATCTTGCTTCTTCTAAAGTTGATGAAGACCCTGTTTTTAAGTGTATACTAGGGTGATCCAAAAGTAATGATCTCAATTTTTTGAACATTTTTTGCGGTCTCTTTCTGATTAACTATGACTTGTATAAAGTGATCTTCTCAGGTTATCCTGAGAGCAGCTTGCAGCACTCGCCCACAATCCTTCGAGCGGCACTTTGGAGAAGTCAGACAGACTTTTTTGGTCATCCGAATTTGTGCTGCTGGACCCAAGGTCCTTAGACACACGACATATTAATCGAAAGAGCTTCCCAAGCTCCTTTCAATGAGGCCTGAATGCACAAAAATTCTCCATTATTTCGTATAAAAGACGCACTTTATTCGAAAAAGCGCGATGTTTGGAGTAGAATTTAAGGCTATTATGGATAGGGCATAAACTCTTTCAGGTAACAACCGTCAAAGGTGAGCTCAATAATATGCCTTCTGAAACCCAATGCTATATCTTCTGTTCTAAAGCGTGGTGTCTACCAGGCTTTGGTGACAGTCTCTTCAGTCATTGCTCGCAGATGTCTTTGGTGGGCTCAGTTGCTTTACCGCGGCGGTGTTGCTCAAAGTTCAAAATTACTTGAAGTGATGAGCTTTAATTTTGAGCGCTTATAAAAATACGCCACATGACAGTGCCCACCTATAGACCTCGATCAGAAGTTTTCTTATGTACTAACATCTGCCAAAACTTGGATTTCTAATTCGGTGTTCTGTTTGAGAAAACTGTTGTTAGATACCCCATCACTTTTGGATCACCCTAATATTTTCCACTGTAATTTTTACTTTCCGAACAATCTTAGCTTGGCCAAATTTGATGTTTGGACCTGTAATCTGACAATGCTTACAACAGACCTGATGCTTAATTATAAAACTGCTACAGAAAAGATTTGCAGTATATGGAGGAGTTTATCGCTGACCGCAAAGCTAAAACAACAAGGGGTCAAAAATACTATGTCTAGATCGTAACAATATTCTAATTTTCTTCTTTTGTAAATTCACACTCACTTTAAAACGGCCAGCTTGCTCATCAAAAAGATTAGACGATTATTTTTTTCACCTAAAAAAATGTGTAGCCTGGTGTATTACGCACTTCTCTTTGTGCATGATAATATAATGATATATTGACCATCTCAATGTCAGGCTCTTCGCTTTCACTTTGTGATTATAAAGAATTTGTGCCTTCGCTCGCAATTTTATGAGTAGAGTTATAGATTTCCCATTATTCCACACTTATTCTTCAGGTGGCGCAACAAAATTCGACAGCATTTCCACTACAACACTAATCATTGCTACAGAGGTAAGGTCATATTAATATCTTTTTTTCTATTATACAAATTCTATGGAGCAGTTTTTCATGCCTAAATGGTGAGAAAATGTGTACTCCAAATGTTACATGAAAAGTTGCTTCTTTCAATGAAGAGTTGTATTTGAGAGCTCTGGCGTTACGAAGATCTCCCTGATTGTCAGAATTCTATAGCAGGTACTGGATGTCTCGTCTTTCTTAGTTTCAAGCCTTTTATGGAAATTCGGAAGTAGCTAGGACTCCTTGAGTGCAAAAGATTGAGTGGCTGTTATTGTTCAGCACTTTCCATTCTATTAAGAAGTTCAACCTCCATTTAGAATAAGTTAAAGTTATTGTTGGAATAAGCCATTCATCAAAAAAGCCAAATTGGTTCAAAAAGTGCTTTAAAAAATTGTTAGATTTACTAGTAGTCATCATAGCATTCGGAATTCTTCATAGCACCACATAAATTTTGTAATCGATTATAAATGTTAGTCCATGCAAATCAAAATCAAAAAAGTAAATAAAAAACTTATAATCTACAATCGTTCGTAAAGAAGGGTAGCTCGAATTTTTTTCAGGTGGAAAGGACAGGCCATAGGAGATTGAAAAAATAACTGAAATTCTTCTTCAGTGGACTTTTTGGCAATTTCAGAAACTTGCCAGAAAAGCTTTATTTGAGAGATTCTCACGACTAGCTATCGTCGTTACACAAAAAAAATTTTTTGAGACTTTCTCCAGCTAGATTCATTCTGTTTTACAAACAAAAAAAAAGAATTTTGACATAACAACTATTGAGATCAAGAATTCTCTTTTCACTATTTACTGAATGGGAATCATCGAAGCTAGAAAAACACGATTTCTAAATTTGATAGTCACGAAAGCAATAAACCCACATCCAGCGCTTTATGCTTATTTATACTCATTCAAGTAGTTCTATTGCAGGAAATTGTTCGACTTTATGTCCATTCAATATGTTCTTATGTATCCGAGTCCAAATTGTCGTCCACATTTGAACAAGGTGGCTTTTGAATGTATTTCTAAGCGCTTTAACAAGTAGATCGGTGCAAAATACGTTCTCGCTACAATGACTCCTTTTCTCCTTCAGCTCTCTATTCAAGTTTCTATCTATTCCAACAATGAAATCAACGATCTGATTGGTTGATTCTTTTCCAAAGCAAGAAATAATTCAAGACGATAATGAAGTTACAAGAGAATTTCTGAACAATTCTGAAGGACATCCTCAGCTTTTGACAGACATATGGGCGAAGTATGCAATACTCGACATACTGTCCGTTTCCTCCTTTTTCGCTCAAGGTTGCGACTCTTAACCGCTCAAACTCCGATTTAAAACATTTTTCATCAGTTGAACAAACTCACCCACAAAAAAAGAAATAAATCCAATTTGGACTGGTTTTAATTAATGAAGGTATTATTTTGGTAGCTTGCTTTTTACGTTTCTTCTGCACTAACTAGGTTTTTACTGGGCTATGATTTTCATTAAATAATCAAAAATGAAGTAGCTGACCAATCTTACTGTGGTAAAAATTTGAGAACTAGCGAGATACATAGATTATCACATGTTATTTGTACCGTCAACTAACAGCAAGAAACATTTTTATAATTGAAAAAATTTTTTCCTGATCTTACATTTTGATATTTTGGTATAAGCATTTAAGATCGATGCACAATGCTTAAAATGCTATATTTTGCTTGCATTTTATTCAAAAAATTTTATCACAGCAAAAATTGCAAAATAGGACCGTGGAGGCAATAATTCAAGCACATTATAGTACATTATAGTACATTATTATATTAATTCGAAATTACTAGACAAATGTTTGATGTAAGATTCGCACCCCCCCCCCTTCCCAAATTCTAGCACAATATAATCTTAGCACGATGCTAATTGTAGGTAACCATATTAGCGTGCTGATTTTCTACAAGAGGTAGTGTCATTGCGTTGCAGGAAAGCCATAGTTTGTCAAATTTACTCATCGAATTTGAATGCTCGACTTGCCATAGCATCCGATATCATATACCACACCGATACCATACCATCAAGAAAATTCAGGAGGAGTAAACGCTCCTAATTTAAGTCTGTATAGATGTACGTGACAACAAAGAAAAACTAGAAGGTTTGACTAGTATGTATATATCCTATTCTGCCGTCGGAGCGCTCAAATGCAACTCTGAACTGTTTATGTCAGTGTTGATTGGTCGTGCAACGAATTCTTGCGAATGCTCCTGTAGACATGAAAACCTCGTTAACGTAGAATTTGATGAATGCAGAGTCCCGCCCACGGAGTTAGCAAACGCGGACACTTGGCGCGCGTGAAGGCACAGATCGTACGAGTTCCACGGTTTGATCACCGCGTGGGCGGGGCGGACAGTGATCACGGAGTAATTGACTCGCTATTGCAGGCGAGTGGAGATGAAGCGCTAGTTGCCCCGCCCACTCATCGTGTCTGTGATCGTCTCCTCGTCGGCTCTTCGTCGTCATCATCATGGGCTTCAACGTGCCGATTCTAAACCGCGATTCGGACGCGGTCCGTGCGGCCACCAAACAATGGATCGACCAACCGCAGAATCAGAAAAAACTCGTCCTGGTCATTGTGTCCGTGGCGCTATTGCTTGACAACATGCTCTACATGGTCATCGTGCCGATTATTCCAAAGTATCTGCGAGACATTCATGCTTACGAGGTCGAGTTCTACGGATATCACAACGAGACCGAGCGACTCCCGAATGGGACTGTTATTGTGCGCGCCGTTGGAGCTAAAATAGATTACCTGGACGAGGACATCGAGCTCGGCTGGCTCTTCGCTTCCAAGGCCATGCTACAGATATTCGTCAACCCATTGTCTGGTTTCATTATCGACAGAGTCGGCTATGAAATTCCTATGGTCGTCGGACTAGTCGTCATGTTTAGTTCTACTGCTATATTCGCACTCGGTCGCAGCTATGGTGTGCTACTGTTCGCCAGGTCTTTGCAGGTGAGTTATTCCATTCTTCTACTTCTATTTCCATTAAAAATTGTTGAAAAATGTCCTTGCTGGGCATTAGCCTCCCATTCTCCCAAAATTGGCTTTCTATTATGGTAAATCAAGACGCCGCCGCGCCTATCTTGCTTCCATCGTCGCAGCGGCGGTTTCGATTTTCGAGATGGGCTCGCAATCCCCGAGGGACATCCATAACTTATCTCTCCTAGAATGATCATCCATCTCTAACGCGAGAGGCTTCTGAAAAATTGCACATCCCCTCGTGAAAGAGCCAGGCATCTGTTACAGAAAAAACAAAATCTAAAAATACATACTTCTATTTATACTTTCTAGAATTTTCTTTCAGGGATTCGGATCAGCCTTCGCGGACACCTCAGGCCTAGCAATGATCGCCGACCGATTCAGCGAAAAAGGCGAACGATCAGCAGCACTGGGAATCGCCCTGGCATTTATTTCCTTCGGCTGCCTAGTAGCCCCACCATTCGGTTCCGTGCTCTACTCCCTCGCCGGCAAACCCGTACCATTTCTTATTCTCTCATTCGTCTGTCTAGCCGATGCACTTGCCATCTTCATGGTGATCCAACCAGGTCGTCGAGGACCAGTAGATGCTGCTGGAGATCGCTTGAAGGGCACCCCGATGTGGCGCTTATTCATGGACCCGATGATAGCAGTTTGTTCGGGAGCGCTGATTATGGCCAATATCTCGCTAGCCTTCCTTGAGCCGACGATCACCACCTGGATGGCTGAAAGCATGCCGGACACGCCTGTCTGGCTAGTGGGAGTGATTTGGCTACCCGCATTCTTCCCACACGTTCTTGGAGTATATGTGACGGTGCGACTTCTGAAGGCCTTTCCCAACCACACCTGGCTGATCGCCATTATTGGCTTGTCCATGGAGGGCATCGCCTGCTTCGCCGTCCCCTACACGACGTCTGTAATGCAGCTGATTATTCCCCTAAGTTTTGTATGCTTTGGCATTGCCCTAATTGACACTTCTCTCTTGCCTATGCTTGGCCACCTGGTCGATACCCGACATGTGCCCGTTTACGGTTCCGTTTACGCAATTGCGGACATCTCCTACTCTCTTGCCTACGCTTTTGGGCCTATCATTGCCGGCTGGATTGTAGGAAATTTCGGCTTCTTCGCTCTGAACATGGTCATTTTCCTCACCAACGTCTTATACGCTCCAGTGATAGCAATCCTTCGAAAAGTGAATAGTTACGATTCCCTAGGAGGAAAATCAGAGATGATGACAGCGGTGAAGAATGATAACTATGCTGAGATTGATAACGCCAAACCAGTGACGGAAGCTACACCAGCTCAGGGATTCCATGGGATGAGTTACGGGACCACGACGAGCAACTATCAGGAGAGCTTCCCGCAACCCGAGTTCCCAGCCGGGTACGATCCGCTGAATCCACAGTGGTAGCTGCGATTGTCACTTTATTAGATTCTAGCGTAATATATTTGTGTATTGTGGTTCAGATAAAGCATTAGTGGATATAAAAGAGCTTGCACGACCAGTCAAGATGGCATAAAAACTTTAGAAAGTGAAAATTTCTGAATTTTTTTTTCTGATTCAGAGCGAATGGACTCCCAGCCGTACTGCTGCCTCTGGTATGACGTAGGTTCTCCTCTCAATCTTCTCAATCAGATTTTTCTTCGAAATCTGCAAAATCAATGCATGGAATTAATTAGTCTTGGCTGGCTGCAAAACCACTTAAAAGTGCGCTTGCCTGAAGAACCTAGTGCCTTGCTGCTTTCCATTAGGTGAGGTGCGTCCCTCTACCCGAAACCCCCCGGGGACTTCGCTTTATCACTGCTTTCGCTAGTCCTACCCATCTTCATCTAATTAAACACATTACCTCTCCACTGCCAATGATTTTCCGAGCAGCACAAATTACCCATCGAACGCCTGCGGGTTCGCTTTCGACTCTATTCGACAAGCAGCTCTTTTGATTTATACTGAAAGCGTGAGCTTATTCTAAATTGCTGCTATTCCCTTCAATCAATTCCTCTAAATTACGCAAGAATTCAATGCTCCTGTTTCTTCTCCTCTCGCTTTCTAACTAATCAAAGAAAAGTGATGACCTTTACGAAATTACTGAACAATCTGCCGCTGCTGAGAAATTATAGCAAATGCTGCTTTGGTGCACAAAATCTCACGGTGAGTATTTATTGCAGAACAATCAAAACTACGCCATATAACACAATTATGATCTACATTTACAGCACATTTGTAGCACAAAGAGACATTTCTAAAGCATCTCGTCAAAATTCTGTGTGCTACCGAAATTGAAGCATAATATAACAATATTTGTTTCAGGCCTGTAGGCTAATAGCGGTTCCTTTATTTGAAAAAAAAAGCACCCCAACCATATTCAGCGTAAGCCTTATTGGCTGGGAAATCAAATGAGATGGAAATGAAAAACATCTAATTAAGATTTGCATCATAGGCTTCCAAATCATCTCCTCGCGGGGATAACTTTCTGGGAGGCAGTATTTTTTTTTTCATGGTGTAAAACTCTCATAAAAACATGACTCTGTCTCAGCAAGCGATTATTATTGTTCATACTATATCGTACAAAACCAAGGTCTTTAAATCGCTGGTTCGGTGGTGTTTGAGATAAAAGCCACCCTATGCAGCTATTATCTGCCCTTCCGTGATAGAAATTTTTTTCAAATCCTCTTAATCCCTTGAAATTTATCATGAGCGTATGCTTTGAGATTTTTATTATTCATTCATTTTGATGCTAGAAAATCTTACACCCACTCCATCCAACCACATCTCTTTCTGCTTCTTGTGAGAGTCGAAAATGATGCAATGCTTGCGGATGTAACCTCCTTGTGCTTAATCCAAGCAATAGGCTGTGTTTTCAAAGCTGGAAGTCATCTTGCTCGTTTGGTCTGTGGAGCGTTGCGAATCTCCCTAACTTGAGTTCCCAAACAACTTACGCCCTTCTTAGGATCCTTGTTGCTTGCTTTCTGTTAATCTTTCAATGGGAATCGTATACCGAATGAGGTCCCTTGTTTCGATTCGTCATGTACTTCTTACGATTAGTTCCAAGATGTCTATAAGAGACAAAGAATGCAGATTCGCAGGAGAGTTGATGACTGAACTTGCAGCTTGGATAAACAGTGTTATGTTACTTGATAAACCATTAGATCAGTTAGCGATACATTCGGGACCGATTTTTGAAGAAATCATTTGCGATCCGAGGGGTGAGAGGGAGGGGAGGAGGTGCCCCCCTCCCTCGAGATTGGGTCGCGAAATTTTTGAAACTTACTGAAGTGAGTTAGAAAAATGTGCAAATGACTTTTTTATACAAAGAATCAAAGTAATTTTTTAAAATTCTTTGAAGATTTAAATAAGCAGTGTAGAAAAATTTTTTTTCGGGGGCGCGGCTGACGCCATTCTAGATTCTTAGGGGTCATGGGCCGAAAAAATTCAAGAAGCATCCCAAAAATTTCTTCGGTGTGCGTGGCTAACGTAATGCACCTTCACCTTTGAAAAAAATTTTTGCCGCTCCAATCCCCCCCCCCCCCGGAAGGAAATCCTGGAGCCGCCACTCTGATAAAATTCAAACTGGAAAATCCTTGAAAATCAAGATTTGACTGTTCATCCCAATAATTTATGAGCTCTCCAAAAGCTTGATGTAGTTATTGTCGCGCAAATTCAGTTGGAGAGAAGAATTTGCTTCGGAAAATTATCCCACTGCACTTTGGTAAACTCTTCTGTGTTCGATGCTTTTTGATAAAATCATCTTCACTCTTATATGGTTCTGGTTTGAACAAGATTTGTTGCGATGAAGTCTGCTAATGTGAGATTCGTCCTCTTCTGCTTTCCTTCAACATCAATCTTTATACGAAATGAACACCTAGTACCTTGCTATCTTGACATAAGTACTCTTAATGTTATGGAGAATGGCTTAAAATGAGAATATCAATGGACTTATCTGTTGCTATCGAAATCAGTTGCTCCAAAAACAATAGCCATTTTTCTGCTAATCTAGTCTAGCCAACAAATTTCAAATATACACTTTCTTTCGGTTACCTTCTGCATTTTGCTGCAGTCATATTCCTATTCCCTTCCTAATATATGACAGCGTTTTTTTGTTCCACTTCCTTGCTCCAAAAACTTCTCCACTTGTTTTCAAAGAATGATATGTTGATAGCTGTGGAGAAAGGATAGAAAAAAAGTCTTTTCGATTTACTTCTTCAATTGTCGTAGAGAGCGCGGAAACATCAGAACCATCTAACTGATGTATAGTTCACCTTTGGCCTGCATGTCATGTTTTTATTAGGTTGTAACAGAATTAATGCAGGTTTTTCGAATTTTGAATTTGGACCATTATGACTCTTTACAAAAATAGGCTTTTCGTGTGCAGTAAAAGTTGTTGTTTTAATCAAATCTATGGCAGCTCAGTGTGCATTATTGTGAGAAAAATCTTATGGCCCGAACAGTGCCAAGAGCTTTCCTAAAAAACCTTCACTTTGAGAGACAGTAACTTAGATTCAGATGTAATAAAAGGGCTTAGTATTACTCATTGCTAGCCTATGGTCACTTGTGCAGCTACAACTCAGATTTTATGAAAAAATTTTGCGGGAGATTATTGAAAAATTTTGAAAGTACTCATTTTCTGAAGAGATGAAAAGTTACTTTTTTGGAACTCACGAATTTTTTTGAAGCGGAAGAAGAAGAACAGCCCCCGATTTTTTCAGTCATAAATGTCTTAAGTCTCTTATTCTTCTATAAGGTGTCCCAAAAAAATGTGAACACTGTTTGATCGTTGACAACTCTCTTGCTTTCACGTCTTTCGCCCAGCAGGTATTATTCTGTAGGGCGATGTTCAACTTGAACTCCGAATGGACAGAATTTCCTATCTTTCTTCGTTACTGTAGGCGGTATGAACTCCCAGCATATTCCGCCACTGTGGAATAGGCCTTTTTATAAAAATTCCAAAAAAAATCTAGAAATTTGTGTAATAACACCGTTAACGTTTTAACGTTTTAACGGTTGAAGTAACGTTTTAAGGCGTGCTGATCCCAGTACACAACTTCTCACCAGTTTTTAAGCTCTTTCAATGGTGTAATCAGACTTCTGAAGAACATAACAGATGTTACCCCGAGCCAAAAATAACTTATGAAGGAAAAATCACAGCGATGTGCAAACTTCATATTTAGAATCGGTGACATTGATAGTCCAGTACAAGAGATTCCGTTTTATTCTTCTAAGGCAAAAATCGCTTTCACTTTACTGAAATCCTTCTCAAAGTAATATATACCGTAATTCTACAGTAATGAAGAAATTGTCGCTGGTGTGAATCTAAGTTGAACCTCGCTCTACAGAATAATACCTTAAGCATGGCGAAGGACGTGAAAGCAAGAAGGTTACTAACGATCAAGCAGTGTTCACATTTTTTTGGGACACCCTGTATACAGCGGATGCTTCACGCTGAGGATTTTTACACAGGACAAACGAACTGTGGCGATCGTTGAATTTTGCCCTGAAATACTTCTCGGAAAATTTTAGAAGTCATGGTTCAATGTGCATTTTGTAACAAAACTCATTCAAAAACACTATGTAAATTTGCAGAGAGGTAGTTTTGAAGCCAAAAATATTAAATGGAAAATTGCAAGATTTCGTCTCTTAAATTTAAGGCACAGAATAAACATCTTACATTATAATGAAAGAATGTATAAGAAATCAGAAGGAAAGAGCTTTCAAATAATATGTGAAACTCTCTAGGAAAATAGATGTACCAATTCTGTTACAACCTAATACTTAATCACAATAAGAGGAATTTCTCACAGTCATAGAATGTTAGGCCTGATAGGTTAAATGAGCGCAAAGGTTTTACCAGAAAGAGAAGCTCTGCAATCTCTAGACTTTACATTTTTGACAAATTTTGATTAAAACCATTTGCAAGGTAGAATTTTATTTTCATGTGAGAAATACCAATGAACGAAATCTCCCAATATGTCCTCTCTCCCCCCCCCCCCCCTGCTCGCCCTTCTTATAGCGTTGGTATAGAAACGTCAAGACCCGATCAAATAACATGCACAATATATAGCAAATGCCTACTTCACTCTGAATATTTCTTAAGAAAATCACAGATCTTTTCGAAACTGCTTTCTAGGGGCGACTTCATATAGAATGCGCCTCCGCTTCAAGCTTTTTCCTGATGAACATCAATACATAAGGTCAGAGAATAATAGACCTTTTGCAAACAGTGGTCAAGGCGTTGGATAAGGCGCTCTCCATGGTCTTTCTGAGAGGGAGACAATTTGAATTACAACAACAACAACAAAAGAAAACGTGAAGTTTTAAACACTGCTATATCTTACAGGAAAGGATCCTTGGTCAAAGTGGCCTTTCCAGAGAAAATGCATATCTTCTTGAAGGACATCGAACGCGCTGACTCCAAATCTGTGTTCCTTATCCACGGAGCGCCTCTGGACAAGGAGTTATGAGACATTTGTAGCAAAATTTTGAATTGCGTAGTTAAAAGAAAATCATTTATGGAAGACTCTTGTGGAGTCAAATGGGACATTTGACTGTTAAACTTTTTTATGAAAAAAACCCTCTACTTACTGTTAAGCATGATAATCAACCGTCGTAAAAAGTTATAATTACTATCTCTGTTGCTTTTCATATCTAGTACTTATAAGCACAGTTGAACAAGAGCTTACGCAGAAGTCTATCAAAAACGAGTTTCCTGCGCCTGAAATCTCCTAAGACGACCCTTTCTTTATCCTCTTCACCTCCTTTGACGTCTGTACGTCCGATTTTTTGTGACTTACAAGCGCACGTATTTGACGGCGGACTTTTGAATGAGCCTGCCTATTGAGAGAGCCATAATCTCCCCAAAAGTGGTGTGTTTGGCTCCAAATTTTTCCGGCAAGTAGAGCTAGTTTGCTATAAAAGGGCACCCTGACCTTTCAAGGAGTTAGCTTTATCCCATTAGCTTTATCTCCGATGAAGCTTATTCAGCCAAATATGTGATTCGCTAGCATAAAACTTTAAGATTCTACATTGGGTGTTTGAGCTTACCTCGACTTGTTTCGGTTTTGTGGTGACCCGTGGAGTTGAAGCACTCTAAGTGGGGAACGCAATGATTGAAAACCTGGCAATACTTCTTATACTAATTGAAAGCGATGAAAAGTCTCATTACTAATATTGACGATCAAAGAGTATTACTTTGTTATGAACATGAAAAACTGACTCTGTTCATTTTGAAACCAGTTTAGTCAAGTTTAAAAATCATACTTTTAGACTTTAAGAAGCACTAGAATAGGTAATGGTTTGTAAACTCCTAGGAACAATTTGACATCCTGGTTACGGAAATCATAACCAATTGACACAGCAAGCTTCTTCGATGATCTTACGTAAAGTAAGAAATGGAGAACCAAAATTTGCTGAGACTTCGATAGCCTAATCAATCATTATGCTATTCACGGCAGTCATCCCTTCAGTTCTGGTGGAGTTGTGATATTCGCCGGTCCAGCGCTTTTCTTCTTCACTTTACTCTATCGTAGTCTTCACTCTTTTCGAACAAGTTCGGTTCTTGACTACGACCCCCACCCCCTCCCCCTCCTCCCCCTTCCTCCTCAGTTTTACCCTCAATACGACTCTCAGGTCGACCACTCCTTATTCCACGCTCAACCCTGGTTCCAAGTCACCATGGTCGTGTGCGCAGAAGTTCATGCACTGTTTTGTGTTGTAACGTTGTGAATTTACCTGTTTTTGGTAAAATGATGTTAGAGCCTCAAATTCGGATTTATCAAGAGTAAGAATTGTGTTTGAATATCTTGTCAGATCCGGGAATTACCTCCCCTCCCCCCGCGGCAACTTTACGAATAAATTCCCTTTTGCTTCCCCCTCACAAAACGACATCCAGCGTATGAAGACGCTATCCCTGCTGGGCCCTGGATGTGACTGCAACAAAAACATCAAAGCACCGAGGTTTTTGACAATCTGAAGCTTGATTTTGACTAACTATCGTCTGCCCAAAATAAAGCAAACTAAATAAAGCTCGCTTCCAATAAATATGTTTTTAGGAATTTCTTTCCGTCACTTGCTATGTGAAAAATTGATGACGGTATTCTAAAATAGTCTTATTGTAACTAAAGGTTCGATCTACGTTATAGCTATGCTTTTTCAAGATGCTGGACGATGATTTTGGAAAAAAGAAATGTTACGCGATTTTATGAGATTGCTCGTAAACTAAAAGTAATACTGTGAGCTTAGATTTGAGCGATACAAAGTTAGTGAAGTAAAAATTACTGCGAAATGGAATTGATTTGGGAATCAATTTCGCAACTCATAACCAAAGCGTCGCTCCTCCACAGATACTTTGATGCATACGGTCCTAATTTAAAAGGTGGAAAGAACAGGGAGAGAATCAACTTCCACAGCTCAAAAGTTCATCGTGGTTTATCGTGAAAGTGTTTCCAAATTTCTAGTCTGCTTGATCCAAAGAGTTGAAAAAATCGTCCTCGAAAAGGAAGAAGGAACCGTTTTCCTATTGAATAGGGCAAGGGACTTGAGAATATACGTACGTAGTAATGTGGAGAGGATTGTAAATCTTTGAATCAAGGTTGATTCTCGCGTCACCGTTCGCTTTATGGGCAGGATGTCTAGTGAGCATAACTTTTACAAAAAAAATCTTTTTCAAAAGTTGCATTATAATTCATCAGAACAGGAAAGAAAATTGACTCGGCTGAAGACCGATTTTTGGTTAAAACCAACCACCAGCTTCAAAAACACTGCTACCATCTCATACTGAAAGGATTTGAGCACACTGAGATCTTTGTAAAAATTGATCAGTGTTCCTCAAAAGTATTGTCTTCAATAGATGGGGTAAGAGCTCATCAGATGGCTATTCAATCCTTGAACGTTATTGACGATTATCACTGACAACGAAAATATAACTAATCTCAGTGAGATTTGCATATTTGAATTAAAACCGACCCGATTATTCATATCAACTTGAGTCATAATGCCAAAATTCGGTACACCCATTTGATCCAATTAACTCTTGATCCCTCCACCCTCCTGCTCTCACCCCCTCCCCTCCTCACTTGAACCCCTGCCCCAAAATGTTTCAGAAATGCTCTTGAAAATGTGCAAACAGAACTCCTTCGATAAAATAACTTTCAAAAGAATGGAACTGAAAACAATGAATCTGAGCCAGTGGACACCTCCCACCCTCCACCAAACCGTTCTCGCAGCGAAAAACTTTCGGATGGTTACTATAGCGATCGCCAAATTTCTGATTACCCAAATATGGTACTGACAAATTAGCGAGTGAGTTACTGATATCACAATGGGTGTTCGTAGCAGAATTCGTCTGGCATGCAAAAGCGCTGGTTTCCAAGGTTGTAATTGTCTGATGCTTCTTCAGTAATTCCCCAGATTGTTGTCAAAGTTAGCTTGCGTTGTTATTCACTGGAATTCACTTATCACCATGCCGACACACGATCTCGAGGTAAATCCCGTTTAACTACGAATTCGCTGCCACAGTTCACACAATTCACTTCGAATGATTTTTCTTCGTACAAATCATTCCGATTTGATGTTGAAGCCTTTTGTTTGGTGTTCAAATTCAGCTAATAGAAATTTTGTTTCATGAGATGGGACCACTGGAAAATCAAAATCCTTGAAATTTTGTGGAAGTGAAAGATGTGATTAAGATGTGCGTGAAATTAGTAAAGCTCTATTAATACTTTCTCTACTGATATAGAATTGGATTGACTGTTGTTGTCACATAGGCAAGGAGATCAAAAAAAATTCTGCCCTACTCTGTCCTTTTTGTGTGTATTACCATTTAAAAATGAAGGAAAATTTGAGCACGTTAACCCATCTACTTTTCAGTTTCTATAGATTACTCAACGGAATTTAGTTCGCTGCGTTTTCGTTTTCGCTGCATCAGTATAGGACATATTTGTTTATTCACCGATAACACAAATAAGGAAGGCCTTGAGAATAGGTAAGACTGGCAGGATTGCTAAATATCTGTAAACAACCAACAATCATTTGTATTCGTTTTCCTCAATCTGATAGCTGATGCCATCGACCGCAACATGCTTCGAAATGCGATTTGGACTTATGAGTCAGTGACAGTGATGCATCCTTTTGTGTCTGGACGTTTGTAAAAAATGTTCGGTTTAGGTAAAAGGTCAGTACCGCTTTTGTATTTAACAGTTCAAATTTAACAGTTGTCATTGCAAAGTGTTTTCATGAGTGAGCAGGGGTCTTTCATAATATATTGGACAATGGAAATAATTTCATATTTGTTGTACAGTGCTCCTAATTACAGTAACATAATAAAGATTTTTGAAATGCTATCCTGCAAAATAGTTAATGACATTAGTCACATCTGAGATAATAATGTAAATAAGCTGTCAATTTCGCAGAGCACGAAATAAACATCGCATCTACCTATCCTACAGAATTTTAAGTGAAAACCTCGTTTGAGCTTATGCTCCTTCACTTCCTTCTTACTACGTCCTCAATCATAAACTATATTAATTTGATTGTTTATTCAAAGCGTTGCCTAGAGTTAAAATGGGCGAATAAGGATAAGGGCAATGATGAATGATTATGGATGTATGAAGGAATACAATTTAGCGCTGTTTGCCAAAGCCACCGGTGCCAACACTCGATCACACCCTCGAGCGCTACCGAGAATATGCCGAAGTTGTCGCAGAGGGTATGCAGCGCGACATTCAAGGCACCTTGAATGCTGTAGAAGAATTCCGAAAAAATGGCGCGATCTATCAACAACGACTGGAAAAAATCGCTGAGGGAGAACCGAACTGGGTAAAAAAATTGTTTTCTTCTTATTCACTTTTACTCTATTCTTTTGTAGATAAATCAATTTTGGCTGCCAGAGATGTATCTACGGATTAGACTTCCCTTACCAGTCAACTCAAGTCCAGCTTATATATTCCCTCAGCAGTATTTCAAAAATGACGATGATTGGTTGAGGTGGGAATACAGATTTCTCAAAAATATTGTTCTTTGCCAAAGAGCTTTTTTTTTCAGATATGCCGCCCTTATGATTAGAGGAATGGTTGAATATAAGGATAAAATTGACACGTAAGCTTTTTTTTTCAAAATCTAATATCCATTTTTGTCAACTCCATGCATGTGGTTACCCACACGGAAATGAACATTATCTCTGTTATACGGACTTGTTTCTTCCAAGAAATAGGAAAATATTCTAGCTCAATATACATTATTTATCTCTTTAACTTTAATTTTTTAGCGTTCTCTCCTTCTTCGTCAAGATTTCTTCGCATAGATCTAGCCTTTTCTGCTTTCAAAATCATTTTCCTACTTTGTGTGAAGATTCACTTTCATAGCTCTGTCTAGGTGTTTCCTTGTATGTAGTAAAATTTTTCAACCAGATTTAGGAAGCAACTGGAACGAGAAGTTTCCACCGGTAAAGTCAAAGTGAAGATATGTATGCAGCAATATGACAGGATTCTATCGTGCTACAGGTAGAGCTACACTTTTTATTCGAGGCTTTATTGTCTATAATTCTTTTGAACATCTCCATGTCTTAAAGGTAGCGTCCGGGCAGATTTGAATATACCGTGGTACCATCATAACCTACTTCTAGGTCCTCAAACGAAAAATACTGCCTCAAAAAGGCAAAAATTGTCTCAAAAATCATAAGAGGCTTGTCGGGACCGCTCTCAGGAAAGCTATTGAGAACATTCGCCCTCTCAGAAAAACATAGCATTACCCCACCAAAAATGGACGAAAGACCTAAATGCGTTCTGAACTCCTAAACAGCTACCGCGTTGCTCTGCGTTCTACTTGAAATCAGACTATCAATAATTTTATTACACAGAATCTACCTTGGAACTTTTCGTTTATAACTGGCGCCAAGTTATAAACGATACGTACGAATGTAACGTGAAACAGGGGGTGCATACATACGCGCGTATGCTCGCGGTCATCAATGTGTTAGGTTCCGTATTTGAGATCAGCGCCAAGAAAAGCTTTCATAAACAAAAAATGGAAGTCTGTCCGGACGCTGTCATTTAGTGAAATTTTGTCCAGTGGTCTCAGACTGTTTTGCTGAGAAGTTTTTGAAGTTGTTATTTTAGGCGCCCCAGCCTGGAAGAAGATGTACAGATTGTCAAAGAAAAGCGTAACAATGGCAACGAGCATATATTAGTAATGAGTAGAGACCAGGTAGCTGTCCTTACCGTCTCGTACAATGATAATGTTGTCCATCAAGGCTTTTATTGTGCACACACGCACTAGTGGACGTCTTCTGTCCTTTGCCGACATCCTCTTCCAACTGCAACAAGTGATTCGCATGTCCGAAGCAAGAAAAGGCCTCGTAGTACCCGTTGGTGCTGCGGCAGCTGGAGATCGGGAAACCGCAGCTCGTTTTTGGGATATACTTTGTGAAGGTGAGAAGGTAAAAATTCAATGGTAAGAGACTTCGCCGAAAGTGGGAGTCCCGTCGGACATCTGCAACAAATACACATTACAATACATGCACAGGCTGAGTATCTGCTGCATTGTCCGCGTGGGAGCCTACCACTTTCGGCGACAGATAGTCCTCTACGCAAAATTCAGAAGCCAGAAATAGGCATTCCTATCTCTTCCGACTCCCTTTTTGCTTAGATTACTCTAACTATTACATCACTTTCTTCTTTTCCTCGTACCTATCAAAATGGTTGCTTTACTGCGACACTGCCTGAGATTCAAGATTAGTTAGTAGATATCAAAACAACAACAAACAATTTGTGAAACATTTGTTATTACTGTATTTTGTATGAGACGGAAAGTCTTGCCCAGGACTCGGCACGAGGTGGCTTCCCGAAAATCAGAGAACGAAATCCCCCGACTTTCGCAAAATTTTACGAAGTCTCCTTTACCCCTATCGGAAAATTCCGATTTGACTAGAAAACGAAACCTTAACTAAGAGAACCTAATTTCGGACTTATAAAAACAATATCCCCTTTGCTTTTGTCCCAAAAACGATATCCAGCTTGCTTATAAGAACCTATGCCGAGCCCTGGTCTTGCCCCATATCCTGTCGAAAATTCCACAAAATATTCCACACCTTTTGAAAAAACCACCAAAATTTTCCGAAAACTCCAAGATCTGGGATAAAACTAAGATTTTCGGATAGCTACCCAGCCTTCAATAAATTGCTCAAATTATTTTAGCTTAACGTTCTTCTTTGATTTTATTTGCAATCGATTTTTCAGTCGACGTAAATTGCGTTTCTCTCACATGGGCACAAGAAGCTCTATTCGTAGTATGTCTTGATGATGAGGATCGAAAATCAATACCGCCAAGGACTTGGCCGAAAACAGAAGATCATGAAAGGGATCTTGGCGCAAGAGGAAAGCATATCCTGACAGGCGGAGGCAGTCGTGGACACGGACTCAATCGATGGTACGATTCCACTATTCAGGTGAGTATAGCAAACTGTGTACTAATAAAATAAAACAACTCTTGTGTTATTCAACAAAAAAATTCAGCTAGTTGTCGGCAGCAGCGGTACGAATGGTTTATGCATAGAGCATTCTTCGGCGGAGGGAATAGTCATCATCAACATGGCAGAAAGCGCACTTCGATATGAACGAGAAAATAGGAAACGGACATTGGTAGCTGAGATTTGATCATGTCCTGGTAAACCTAATTTTTCTATCCAAAAAATTGCAGATATACGCAGCAGAGCGAGAAATTTGCGCGAAACCGCTCACTTGGCATGTAGACAATACTGCACTGGGACTGCTGGAAAAGCAGAAGGCAACACTGGATGAGTAAGTTTTAAATCTCAATCCAATCTAATGTTTTTCCCAATCGAAACCCAATCCTATGAATTTACCAGCATAGAAAAAAAAGCATGGGGGGGGGGGTGCTTTTCGAAAATATATAATCTGGACGCCATAAGATAGATAGGAGGCCAGTTCTTCTACACCGAAAATGACTTTTGGGCCTCAAAAAGTTGTTGGACTGCACTTACTTATTATACCTTACAATATGAAGAATGTGTTTTGTACGACAGAACGTTGCATTTAATACAGAGGTAATAACTACAATCATTCTCAAAAATTTTCCTAGTCTTCTTTTTTTTTATTTTTTGAATTATTGATGGTTCTCCAAAAGCATCAGTGCTAGGCTAATACGAAGGCATTTCGAAGGCACAAGCTCTTTATCAAAGCTGGAAAGCCGAAGTTGCAGAAAATAAATCAAAATGCAAATACCGTAGCTTTGCCTAGAAATCCTTAGCTTTATACTCGTTTTCTTAAGATAGTAAGTAACGGTAGAGATTTTGCTGACAGCGACCACTCTGGGAATATCTCGTCAACTGAAAGCAATGTGTTCTTTTTATTGCTTCGTGTCATTGTACTTTTTCTGAAACTGCAATTTTAGCATCGAAAATATGGCCATCATTTTACAGGCGAGTTTTTCATAGTTTCTTGCTTTCCGGTCTTTCTGCAATCATGATGGACATTCCAAAGCTATCATTTTGCTTCAAACCTAGAAGCTTATGAAGCCAATACCAAATGAGGACATAGTTCTTGTCCAATTCAATAGCAAATGTTCTTTAGGTTATCGCGAGAGCTTGATCTGAATCCGTTGGTCTTCAAAGACTTTGGAAGAGATTTTATTAAATCGATGAAGTTTAGTCCGGATGGATTTATTCAACTTGCACTTCAGCTAGCTCATTTTAAGTAAGTTCAAAATCAACTTACCCTAGAATTTATGACTTGAGAAAATGATTTTTCTTTCAGATTACACGGTTACCTGGTCTCGACGTATGAGTCGGCTTCTCTTAGGCGATTTCGAGCAGGTCGCGTGGATAACATTCGAGCAAACACTAGGGAAGCCCTTGCTTGGGTAAAAGCGATGACCAGCGACACCTCAAAGGTACTGGCATGAAGAAAAATCAGAACAATAATGTTTTAAATGATCGTCTGCAGGAGACGAAGTTGGATTTGATGAGAAGAGCGGCCGAAAAGCAGGCAAACGTGACGCTAGAGGTAACTGATGTTGGCAGCTGTCAATAAACTTTCCACCCAAGAAAGGAAATTATTTTTATTTAGAACACTGCTGGCCTTGGAATAGACAACCACTTATGTGCACTTTCTGTGATAGCCAGACAATCTCTAGAAAGCGGTGAAACTCGCCAACTGCTTAAACTTTTCACGGATTCGATGTGGAACGAACTTATGCGTTTTCCGCTCTCCACAAGCCAGGTTTGAATCTGGCATCAAATCCATTCTTACTATGACTACGAGGCAAACTTAGGTGACCACATCGCCAGACATCTCGGACTGCTACTTATGCTATGGTGCTGTCGTTCGTGACGGATATGGTTGCTCATACAACCTCCAAAAGGATCTCATAATTTTTGCCCCTTCAGCATTCAAATCGAACCCTCGAACCAATCTGTCAGCTTTCAAAGATTCAATTCGAGAAGCTCTTTATGACATGAAACAGCTGTTGATGAGTTGACCTAGGGTCAAACACTTGATATGATTAAGTATTTAGCTGCAGTCTGTATAGTGCTGATTTTGAATCTCGTTCGAAAATACTTATTTGATAAAAGATCTATCTCACTTTTTTTTGTTGCAACAAAAGCGTGTCAGAGACGTCCTTTGAAAGGCTTGATAGTGGTCTCTTACAACTGCCTGCGAATTCAGGATGAACGAAAAACGGGAGAGGTTTTTCTATTTCTAACCATGTAAGACTTGAAATTTCGATAGACAAATCATTTTGAGCAACAGCCAAAAAGGTAAACTTAGAAGACTCTAGTATGGATTTAGTAGAAATAGGTTGTCGCGGCTCCGCAATGCGAGGCGCCTAGAATTACGAAGACCGAGGGCACTGGTGCTTACTTGTTGCTATAGACGATTACGGTAATTTCTCACGCACTACCACAATTACTTCAGGATCCCTCCTTCCCTAACCGCAATGCTTGTCAAACCACTATATGGTTCATTTTTGAGATCGTGAAGACGTGAGTGCGGTCATTCCGCACACAGAAGAGTAAATCACCCATACAAACAGGCAACACCTCAGCGCTAAGCTCAGTTACTTTTAGTGCCTGAGTACTATCATATGTAAACAGAAAAACTATTTGAGTAGAGATAGAACCCAAGAATTGGGAGTGCGTGCGTGTTGCGCGCGGTCGCGCCATCGTCACGATTTTTCGAATGCCCTATACCTCCCTCACAGGGGAAGGATACTTGGTCAAAGTGGCGTTTGCACTAAAAAATGTATACTGTCTTAGGGAGCATGGAACGCTGATTCCGAATCTGCTTTCGATATCTGCGAAGCGCATTTGGGAGGGAAGTTATGGAAATTTCTTCCCGCAAAAATTTTGAGCTGCAATAAAATCTTTCAGAACTGTAGTCAGTGACTTGGAGGGGATTATGATTACTGTTGTGGCTTGAGAAAGGCTTGAGTGATTCCTTTACTATCCGAGAAGACAAACTGAGAAGTACCATACAGTCACAACTATATATACCAAATGTGTTTACATCAACAAGTCATTATCACTGACATATCATTCCTCAACACCTCCCTCCTAAGACAAAACTAGTTTATGTTTTCTTCTTCTTAATTAGGTGTCTAGCATGATGTGTCTTGAGTGATGATGTCTCGGAGTCTGGTGACATAGTTGGCTTGCGATCTGGTTGCGGTATATCTGTAACACGATGTTGGTTTCTTCGGCTTCTCAGCTTTGACTGATGTCTTCGTTGGCTACGTTGGTGCTTCACGTCGCTTGTGCGCATTTGGTTGGCGTGTCTTCTCCAACGAAGGTTGTCTTCAGTCTCGACGTCGTACAATACTCTTCCCAAGCGACTCTTCACTACAGCTGGGATCCAATGATCATGTTTCGAGCGATAGTCCCTGACCCATACGTGATCATTCGTATCATACGACCTGGATCTTACTCCTTGATGGCGGTTGAACTGTTCCTCCATTTTGGTATCGCGTTTCCTTACTTTCCTCGCTAATTCATCCAATAATGAAAGCCTTGTCCGGATTGGTCGGCCTAAGAACAATTCAGCAGGAGATAAATTTTCAGGTGTCGTCCTTCGATAGTTCTGCGATATGAGTTCGTCCTTTTGGAACTCTTTACAATCGCACTTCTTGTCACGGGCAGCGCTTTTACGGCAGTGCTTTGGATGGCACGCATGTTCTCTTTTCGCTTTTTTTTAATACGGGAACTACATTGTCCTTCAGGTACAATTTCGCTCTAGTCTTTGAGCATTTCCGAAATCCACTCTTGAAAACATCTGCGTACTTTCTCTTCAAGTTCGCGACTACTTCTGCTCTCAGTTCTTCATCTTGGGCTACCATGTGACAGTGATACTTGTTCTTCAGTTCCTTGTAAGCAGGCAACTGAATGCACCACTCCAATCCTTGTAGATTTGTTCCTTTAGTGACATAACATGTCCCTTTTCCAAGAATCCTTCCCTGTCACGCAGTCTTTGACGGAAAACTGAGTAGAGAATTTGCCGTCAATCCTCATTGGTTTTCCATCCGCAGTTTTCACTGGCAAGATGTATGGTTCCAAGGTTGGCGATCCTATTTTCTTCCAGGTTCGGCGTGATATCAATGTTATATCAGCGCCAGTGTCAAGCTGGAACCGTATGGGACATCCTTGAATGGTGACGTCAAAATAGGTACGCGCGTTTTCGGCGCTAAACGCGACAACCTTCTTGCACCGTTTCTTCTGATAACCATGAGTTTGAGTCACTGCTTCCTTTGGCTTCTTACGTTTAGCAGAGAGGAGGCGAGGGCATTCGCTTCTTTTGTGCGGACCTGCACAATTAAAGCACTTTATCTTCTTCTTCCACACAGCATGAATATCTCGAGCGCCTTCCATGTCTGTGTTGTCCATCTTCAATGCGGTGTAGTTTTCGCACTCATTGACAAGATCTTCTATTCTCAATGGTGTGTCCTCCGTGTAGGTGTTCAGCCTGCGGATCATTCTCAGACGGACTTCCCTAAGCGAGGGGTCCTGAAGACCTGCTACGAACTGTAGCTTCATTGCTGTATAATCCACCTCCTTGAGTCTGGCGTCTTCCTCCATTCTCTTGATTGTGTTTGCGTACTCCCTAAGGGGTATGTTCGTTGACGTCAGTGCTGGACAAGTGATCCGGAGACACTCATATCGTCGGCGTATAAGTGTCTTCTTAGATGCGAATAGCTTCTGCAAATTCGCAACTGTTTTTTCCAGATCAATCTCGCATGGTTTCAACGGAAGGACGTCGTCGGCGTATTTCCGATAGGATTCCTCGTCGAGTTTCATGAGGATCAAGTCCCGCTCTTTATTGTCTGGTAGAACAGCATCTTTTGTAATTGGACCATACCTGTCGTACCAGTATGCGAATGTGTTTCCAATGTCTTCGTCGAAGATAAACTTCTGAACTTCTTTGCTGAGTTGATCGTATTGATCCTTCCCAGCATCTTGGACGGCAGCATTCTGGTTTCTCGCAAGGCTGTTGAACAGTGTCATCATCTCTTCGTGCTGGAGACGCAACTTTTCTGCCATCATTCCCATGATTTTCTCCAGCTGCGAGTCTTGGCCATGCTTTTCTTCTGTCACTCTCGGCATAGTTGGTTCTCTGATAAGGATTTCTCACTCTTTGTGGAACAATTATAGCTTCTACTGGAAGCGATAACTTATCTTAAGAAGCTCTGTTGCCGTATCTGCGGCTCTTCCTTGTCCTTGATCCTTGACAGTCTTTGACAGTGAGTCTTCCTGTGGCGTAGAGTTCCTCCTTGTCCTTGATTCGTGGAAGGATTCTTCTTGTCCTTGAACAGTGAAGACCTTCCTCTTCTTGGCGATGAGCGGTCTTCTTGTGCTGGATCCTGATCGTCACTGTTGTGGCTTGAGAACGGCTTGAGTGATTCCTTTACTATCCGAGAAGACAAACTGAGAAGTACCATACAGTCACAACTATATATACCAAATGTGTTTACATCAACAAGTCATTATCACTGACATATCATTCCTCAACAATTACCATCAGGGCGCTTCTTGCAGTTGAAACTTCATTATTAAATTTGAGCTAATCGTTACTCAATTCAAGCACCGTAAAGGCCTCATCACTCGTTTTTACCTTACCAAATCCTTGCATTTTTGCCTCAAACTCTCGTTTCTCCCATCTCGAATGCGCTTTGCAGATACCGAAAGCGGATTCGGAATCAGCGTTTCATGTCCTATAAGACAGTACTCATCTCCTATGAAAACGTCACTTCGGCCAAGTATTCTTCCCTTGTCAGAAATCCGGCTGACTAGCGCAGAACAAAACGAGGTGTGCCCATATAATGCCTGCGCGACTCACGAAATAAATTTTGGGACAAAATTACGACACCTGATTTTGTTTCGGGATAAAAGTGCAAAACAAAAACAGGTGTCGCGACCGACATGTTTCGGTCAAAATCGGAATATCCTGCGAGAGACACCATAACGTCCAGATCGCGTTTAGAGTATGCAGCTTACGCTCTTGTTAACGGCCTTTTGCGTCCTCTGTGTCCTCTTTCAAGCGTCTTCCTTTCCTTACCTTCTGTCAATGGTCTCCTCTCTCATACCTATCTTTCTTCTCTTCGTAACCATTCTATGTTTTGAAATTTATTGAAAAACACCAGATAACATACTTCTGACAAGCGAAGGACCCTCGGTCGAAGTGGGTTTTCATGAGTGATGCATATCATGCTGGTCTGGCGCACTAATACCAAATCCGTGTTCCTTAGCTGCTCGATGGTCTTCCCGAAAAAGTTATGAGCGATCGTTTCTTTAGTATGACCGCGGATCGCTAAAGTTAGCGGAGCCAAGAAATTGCAGCTGCTCAGCTGCTGGGACTTGCCGAGTGCGCGTTTTGTGAGTTAGAGCTCTCCAGAAAACATTCTAACGAAAATTAGAATACGACCTAACCCAAGGTTTGCGCTTTGGGTTTGCGCTTGACGACGGTTTTATACATCCAAATTTTACCTGGTCAGCGCTATTTTCAGGTGTATAAGCCGCACCCTTTTCGCTCTAAAGGCGAACACGCCAAAAGACTGACTGTCATCATGGAGCACGTTAAATGAGAGCAGTACGCGATAAAGCGACCGCTTCGCGAGACATATGCGCGGCGGCACGCCTGGGTTTGCTCGCTTTCAGAGCAAAAAGGGTGCGGCTTATAACCTGAAAATAGGGTACTAGGATTAGGCGTAAGGCAGCAAAAATAAACGTATTGAATACGTTCTTGCCGCCTTCCCTCGCGTTTCATTAGTACTCAGACTCGGCAGACTAGGCATGTTGCCGTAATCCAATGTTTTCGCGCTATTTTCCATCAGCATAGGTAAGGAAAAACACTATACCCTTCCCTGCGAAAAACGATTTTCAATGAAATTCCTGCTATACAGAGAACAAGGTTTGGCAGTTGCAACCATATAAAAAACAGAGTTTTGAATGCTTTGAAGGTAAGTCAAGAAATGTGGCCCGATTGCTGTAG